CTCTCTCTCTCTCTCTCTCTCTCTCTCTCTCTCTCTCTCTCTCTCTCTCTCTCTCTCTCTCTCTCTCTCTCTCTCTCTCTCTCTCTCTCTCTCTCTCTCTCTCTCTCTCTCTCTCTCTCTCTCTCTCTCTCTCTCTCTCTCTCTCTCTCTCTCTCTCTCTCTCTCTCTCTCTCTCTCTCTCTCTCTCTCTCTCTCTCTCTCTCTCTCTCTCTCTCTCTCTCTCTCTCTCTCTCTCTCTCTCTCTCTCTCTCTCTCTCTCTCTCTCTCTCTCTCTCTCTCTCTCTCTCTCTCTCTCTCTCTCTCTCTCTCTCTCTCTCTCTCTCTCTCTCTCTCTCTCTCTCTCTCTCTCTCTCTCTCTCTCTCTCTCTCTCTCTCTCTCTCTCTCTCTCTCTCTCTCTCTCTCTCTCTCTCTCTCTCTCTCTCTCTCTCTCTCTCTCTCTCTCTCTCTCTCTCTCTCTCTCTCTCTCTCTCTCTCTCTCTCTCTCTCTCTCTCTCTCTCTCTCTCTCTCTCTCTCTCTCTCTCTCTCTCTCTCTCTCTCTCTCTCTCTCTCTCTCTCTCTCTCTCTCTCTCTCTCTCTCTCTCTCTCTCTCTCTCTCTCTCTCTCTCTCTCTCTCTCTCTCTCTCTCTCTCTCTCTCTCTCTCTCTCTCTCTCTCTCTCTCTCTCTCTCTCTCTCTCTCTCTCTCTCTCTCTCTCTCTCTCTCTCTCTCTCTCTCTCTCTCTCTCTCTCTCTCTCTCTCTCTCTCTCTCTCTCTCTCTCTCTCTCTGATTCACCCCGATTCATCCCGCCTTCCCCGAGCCTTCCAAGGGACGCCGTCTGTCCGTGATTCATCCCGTCGCCCCGGGCCATGACCTATTTTTTTTTTATTTTTTTTTATTATTATTTTTTTTTTATAGAAATCTTCCCTTCGCGAAGAGAAGCACTCGCCCTGGAATAAAGGTCGCCGGAATTACCCTTCATATACGTGTCAATTAGGTTTAATTTGTTTAGATGTGTTAGACATCTGTCTCTGTCTCCCTTCTCTTTTTTTGAAATCTCTGTTACTTGCATCTTCTTTCCCACTGTGTCTTTTCTTCTTCGAGCTTGGATGTTATTCGCATCCCGTAGCCTCCCTTCACGATTGATTCATCCTTAGGATGCAGTACTATATCCAAGTCCACACGGTCAGTGCATAATTCCCATGTTGCAAGTCTGCGCTGCAATTCCCGGCGTGGGCTGGCTGCATGCACCAGAAGGAAGCGGTGCGGTTTCGCCGTGAACTCGTGAACCGAGGCCGGTGCATGGTGGCGGCAGCGTCGAGGTCAGCGTGTGCATTCCCGGGGGTTGTGTGGTCATTGCAGTGCAGAAAGCTTGGTTTTGGCCTAGACGGGTGTATTGTCCTTAGCGTTTGTATCTGTAGCTGTTATTTGTCTGGGAGCAATGAGAAAATGGTTAGCAAAGATTAATAATGAAAAAACGGCCTCTTTCGTTTGTTTGTTTTGCTTTCTGCCTTGATGTACTCCACACCCTTCCGTCACGTCTTCACGTTGGCGAGTCAAGGGACGAAAAACGCGCGTGTGTGACGAAGCAGTGAAGGAAATGAATAGCGTGGGTGACTCACTCACCCCGTGACTCACCGTGGCACCATGTGGCTGATATGACCCGGCGTGGGTAGAGAGGCACCGTCAGACGCTAGGGAGGAGTGGCACTTAGGTTGTAGCGGGAGTAACTTGATATGCTGCAGCAGGGACCCAGGGGAGAGGAGGGGGAGGAAGAGGGGGGGGGGCATGGAGATGGGCGTGGTAGGAGGTAGATCTGTATTTCCGACGTGTGTACTGGAGGTCTACAATACCTTTAAATGTGGCGTTTGTGTCGACGGTGGAGGTGATCGCCGTACCCCCACTTGTCACTGCGGGGAGCGTTGTTTTTTTTCTCTTGTCCTGTCCTCTCTCTCCTCTCTCTCCTCTCTCTCCTCTCTCTCCTCTCTCTCCTCTCCTCTCCTCTCTCTCCTCTCCTCTCTCTCTCTCTCTCTCTCCTCTCTCCTCTCTCTCCTCTCTCTCCCTCTCTCTCTCTCCCTCTCTCCTCTCTCTCCCTCTCTCCTCTCCTCTCCTCTCTCTCCTCTCTCTCCCCTCTCTCCTCTCTCTCCCCTCTCTCCCCTCTCTCCTCTCTCTCCTCTCTCCCCTCTCTCCTCTCTCTCCTCTCTCCCCTCTCCATCTCCTCTCCTCTCTCTCCTCTCTCCCTCTCTCCTCTCTCTCCCCTCTCTCCTCTCCCCTCTCTCCTCTCTCTCCCCTCTCTCCTCTCTCTCCCCTCTCTCCCCTCTCTCCCCTCTCTCCTCTCTCTCCTTTCTCTTTTTTTCTTTCTCTCCTTTTCCCCCTTTCTCTTCTATCTCTCCTTTTCCCCCTTTCTCTTCTATCTCTCCTTTTCCCCTTTCTCTTCTATCTCTTCTTTCTCTCCTTTCTCTCCTTTCTCTTCTTTCTCTCCTCTCTCATTTCTCTCTCTCCTCTCTACTTACTTCTCTCTC